AGAGGTTCCCAGTCAGTCAACCCAGCAAAGCTAGCAAAGCCTTTATTCCCTGCCTTGTCATGTCCGTTTATTCTTGATTCAAATGTGAATGAGTTGAACAGTGATGGGAATGACTGCTCGGCTCAGCACTTCTTGGCTCTTTCCCCCAAAATTCAACCAAACCTCTGGATTTTCAATTCCACTTGGGCGATGACGGCAAGAGAAAGCAAGAACAAGTACGTACGAGAGAGCATTGGAGTGGGAATCCTCTGTCTGTGCACGTTTTATTGGGAGAGCTATTAAGGTGGGTTGTATTAGCAGAGCGGATGATGACAGTGATAGTCGGGATGATGCTTGAGGAAAATAGGTGTGAAGTGCCTGGGGACCACCTTTCATTTTATTGCCAACAGCTCGTTTTGTTTAACTATAGCCCTTCTCTGCTGGAGCGAGGAGAAGCTAAATAGAATGGCAAGTAGAGTTTCGCTGGATAGACAGGAAGTTGCTCCTCCTGCTGCTGTGGCCCTTCGTTTTTCTCGTCTTTTCAACTAATTCACAGCTGAGGTATTTCGTATGGATTGCCTGCATCCAGCCCGCATCTCTTCACAGCTTTTATTTTATGCACGGAAACAAAATTGCAATGTGGTGCAATGTAAAAGTGAATGACAGGATAGGCGAAGGAAAAAAACGCGTGCAGTTTAATGTTGAGTAGCTGTCGGTGTGTGGAAAAGGAAAGGACTTTTTTTAATTTTTCTAAAATTAGGAACTCTTACCTCTCTCGCTTGCCTTGCAGATTAAGTTTCACGCAGAAGGATTTTGCAGCATCAAATTAAGCAACTATTTCATCTTGCGGGTGGAAAGAAGTTGGACACAACTTTATCGGAATGATGAGAACACGGGCTAACTAGGGAATCAGGGTACATTTTAGTTGGCGAGGTAGTGTAGCATAAATTCGTACATGTGTACATACACTCTGAAGATCATGCACTGCTGTGCTGGTTGGGTTTCCTTCGTTAGTTAAAAATGAAACATATGCTGGAATTTATTGCCGGGATTTGCGATCCTGACTGACTAAATTAAAGGAAATAAAAAGAGATGAACGGTGGAAGAACACGAGATCATCACAAGATGGACATGTATTTGTCTGGTCAGTATGCGTATCCACACAACATGTAACAAATTGCATAGTAGGAAACGAGTAAGTGGGTGGATATATCTCATGGACGTGAGCAATATCGCCTTTGGCACAGGAAATTATGTTTCGTTTTAATGAACCGATTTGTTCAGGTCTGTGTATATTCCGTCCAGTCAGCCCGTCTATCCAGAGTTTATTATATTTCACGGATATGTACATGTTTTGGTTCCAAAGGGAAGAAATCCGGATGTGTTTTGTTGCGAGATGATATTGTGCAAGTATTATTCTACGGTATGTCTACATGCACACATAGTTCCATGTTAAAACTTGGCATCTGCACTGCCAGCACGACAACCAAAGCCCTGAGTTGCAGTGTAACATTTCAGCAGCCGAAAAGTTTCAGTTTCATGCTAGCAATCATCAATTGAGACAGGTCATTTATCTTCGTTGACCACTTTAAAACTAACTGATCTGAATTTGGAAACGTGTTTAGAGTTTAGAATCGTTCTCGTGCCTAGTTGCTGAGATCCGTCAAACTTTAGCTGAATGTAGGAGCACATTTTGCAATAATGACGATTATGTAAATGTATTTACTCAATAGGCGAATGTATTTAAGCACGCGAACTGTACTTTCTCCTCGTTCTCCGCTCATTGAGAATAAATTCAGTTGATGTACAACATTTGTAATAATATTAGACTAATCAAAGAGAAGAAATAGCCAAGTGGTTGGCAAACATGAAATCTCAACATGGAGACAAGGTGCCTATGTATGCATCTGGCCAGCAAATTTCTGTGGCCAATTTGACACGGATTATCTCATTCACTCAATCATATCCACAAGCCAATGTATGTTTATGGTTAATTAAGTTATTCAAGAAACGTACTTCGTAAATGCATATATTTGAAATCATCGAATAAGTTCTTCATTATAAAAGTAATCAATTATTACATAAAATATTATTATTAATTGAATGATGGGATCCCAAAGTACTCTCAAAAACATCGCTGGATATATACGTAATTAGAACTCTGGAACAAAATATTGTGGACGAGATGGGAGAAAGTTCGGTGGTTGGAAAGGTGCAGTGGATGTATTTTGGTAGAAATAAACTCCACGGAGAGAACTACGTCCTAGCTAAACGAATTATCAGAAAGAAGAGTAAGGCAGTGAAATTTCGAGGGAAAGTGCTCATCTTATTTCGAAAGTGATTAATCACCACCAGACACCGTTGGACAAATTGCCTCAACTTTTGATGCTCCATGTGAACTGCAAAAATGACGCACGACCGACGGACTTTTACGAAGCAGCAAACTCCAGTTGGTATGTACTACCTCCACCACATTCTGACTAAAATAACAGGTTTAGAGGAATCTTAACTTGTAAACTGAAGGAAAGAAACTTGATATAATTCTCAAATCTTTACATAATCTCACAAAGTTCTTTCATCTTGTGGGTACATGTTTGTTTTAGTTATGTAACGGTTAACACGGTTAATTGATTGATGGTTGCAATGGTCATTATTACCCACTTTTAAACAAATGTTCCTATTCTCCCTTTGTTATGTACATCTGCATGTAGATAATCATGGATCTTTTGGTTCGTAGGATTATTACTGGACTTTGTAGTATTTGCGTGTCTCTTGGTTTACCACATTCATCTTAATTAAGAAAACTTTTTCAGCTCCAAATTGTCTACGCTGTCATATTAAGCTGCATGGTGGAATAAAGTTGTAAGACTAGTAGTTATAAAAATTGTTAGTGCTATCAAATTGGCGATATTTTTGCCGACAATTCTTGCAAATATTATGAGAATTAAATGAAGTTCAACAGACACCGCCAAGCGCATGTGACTGTCACTTTTTAGGCCCAAAAGTATAAAAAGCCCATTAAACATGAAAGAAGAAAAGAGAAAGTCGCTGAGCCGGAGAGAAATTCCAAAATGAATACGGAACGGATGTCAAGGCTATTAGCGACATTAAATGGCTCTGTTAGTCTAAAAAATGCAGAGAGAGAGAGAATGCCACGAAAACCACGAAAACCTATGTCGACTCTGTCATCATAACACGGTCCATGGATGTTGGCTAAGTGAAAGTTTGAGGAGATTCTGGGCTGCTGTATATCAGACGACAGTAGATTGGTTAGTGGTTCTGGAAAGTCTGGATGACGGGAAAGCTGAATCGAAAGCCAAAATCCTAGATAATATTTACATAATACATAATACTAAAGACATCAGCTTTGGGTTGGGACGGGATGAGCAGCAGCAGCAGCAGGAAGTCCTTCCTGGCAGATCCTTCCCCAAAAATTGAATACATAACAAAACACAATGGCAAGCTATACAATCGAGTGAGTAATAATACGCCTTCCTAATTTCCTTGATGCAATGGAACCAACAAATAATAATATGAGCCTTCACATCCTGACTTTTTGGTCGCATAATTCCCTTCAGAATATAAGAAAAAGATGGATCATTCCCCAACCCATCTTTCTCTTTTCCCTAAAGAAAAAGAAGAAAATCTGTTGAATACTCTGGGTACACTTTCCAAATAAAAATAGGTATTTGGGTGCATTCAATATAAGATATGTTTGGCCCGTCACATGATTTCAAACTTTTGAGACTATCCCTTCCCTTACTTGCTTGTTACAACAAGTTGAATTTGATTATAGTCTCGAATCATAAATAATGTATTCAATTCCAAGTGTTCGCAAAATAAATTGTGCTGTACTTGGACATGGCAAATGAATGCCTATGCAGCACCACAGGCAACAGGGGTACTACGAACATACATAAGTTAACCACTGCCTGCGTTGCTAACTTTATTTGCACTTTCAGTGGAAACTAAATACATTTTCATCTGTACTGGAAGTAAAATGTCGCGAACATTTTCCAGCGAAGAATTAGGAAAAATTGGTCTCCGTGAAATAAACCCCATGAGACTTCCTGATGAAAGCGAAGAAATCTTGTGCCTTCATACTTGTAATCGTCCTTAATGAATACATTTCCTTAACGAATGAATAGTCTGTCGTATTATCCAAAAATCTTTGTGCTCGGGGAGGCATCCCGCTGTTTTGAATCGCACTGCTAAAAACGTATACATGTCTCCGTAATTTGTACTTTGAAATTCTTTCCACAAAGGTTTGCAGATTGAAATAATTTGTAAATTCATTAAAGCACAATCTTAGTCACACATAATCATGTGCCTATACTTGTCTATTCATCTTTAATTAGTGGGTCAACTAAACAAACTCGCCTTCATGGTGAAATGTAAAGGGGTGTGGTTCATACCACTGTGTAAAAACATGCACATGCATAAGAGGACCAACAGGATATTCTCATAAAGTAGTATTCTCTCGTAAATAAACTGGTCGAGTGTCGTAGGAGCACCCCGCTTTCACCTTTTCTACGAAATTGCCAAGATGATTGCTCAGCCTGTGACTGGAAACAATTTATATAAATGATGGATGTTGTTCATTTTAAGATATTATTAGAGAGTTTCTAGTCTGGTCGTGCATCACTCACAAAAACGATGTAAACAACGCTAGGTGATGTCACCATGTGACAACCAACCATGACTCCATCCTTCGTATGATGGCAAATCGGCCTGGAGGAGTGAAACTGCTTTCAAAGTCTGCTACAGTCGACGAGATGAAGGGCAGCCGAGGCCAGCAACGTGTTCATATACAGTCGCACACCGCCGTGTCCTTTTTCCCATCTATCTTCCGCCACATACATCCAACTGCTGCTCCTGCTGCTTCAGAGCCAAACAACAAGCACCACCACCACCATGAGAAAAGTATGAAACTCACTTTCTCCGGCCGCCGTGTGTGCGTTCTCATCTCGAAGCATATTCCTTCCTTGCTGGCCGAGGAAACAAACCCACATGAAAATCTTGGTTGGAGTTCAGTCTTTCGCAGAATCTTCCCCTCACACTCCATGTTGCTCTCTCTCTCTCTGATGCCACACAACCAGAGCCCATTCCCATTTATACTTTCACCCTAACTTTCCCCCTGACACTACTCTTTCGACTCCAGGAGTAAAATCAACCACCAAGAACCATGGTTAAAATCTCAATCGGGATCCACAATGGTAGATCTTAAGCTGCTTAAATTGTCTTAATAGTCCAAATCCTCTCAGGTGCCCCAACTTAAATAAATACATATAGTCGAGCAAATTCCGTCTCATCTTTCTGCTGCTAATACTCAACTCACGAGTGAATGTGTGCGAGTGAAGCGAGGATATCATGAACTGTTTGGTTCCTTATAAAAAAGAAACTGAATCCTTTTTTGCCAATTTCACAACAGACTTCCTTTGAGAGATTATTTTGTGACTATTTATGTATTCAAGAAACCAAAAGTACACAATTAACCAGGGATTTTATCAGGCTCCTCTCAACAAGGACAAGAAGCAGTCGTCTTGTTAGTAGGACTTGGAGGAGCAGTCAACAATGAGAGTGAGGAGCGAGGTAATCTGCAGTCATTATGAAGGATTTTCCTGGTCGCTGAGGAGAAGCTGTACGGAGAAGGATTGCGACAATTGTGAGGAGGAAAAAGTGCTCTGATTGTGAGATCGGGTAGAAGAGGATAAGTGTTTTTTTCTCCGGGGAATGAACTTTCTCCACTCTGTCGGAACATCTCCCATCAATGTTATTGTTGCTGGTTGGAGCAATTAGTGATGGTGGTGATAAGGACCCACCATGTACATGGAATTATGGCAACAAACACAATCCTTCCTTTTTGCTGAACCAGGATAATTTCCTTTATGAGAAGTTGATGCTGTGCTCCGTGTTTCCAGCTTTACCATAAAACTACATACTTTCAACTCCTTCTTGACTTGAGGAGAGGAGAAAATCTTAAGACATTGGATAAACCGAAATAAAATAAAATAAAACCAGGATCCCTCCGCGTCTAATAATAACCAAACTGCAAATTGCGGCCGTCTTGCTTCAACAATCAACCAGCTTTATGATGGGCGAATTACAACTGAAGCGAGTAGGAAACGTGCCTTCTTTTGTAATCGCTCGTGCAATCCTGGGCTCGCTTTGCATCCACTGGGGTATCCATTTTACACACATTTCTCTCTTGTATTATTGGGTATAAAGATGGTGGTGGGGATGATGTTGTGGGAGGAGAAAGCATGTGCTGTTCTGAAGTCCAAGTTAACGAAGCGACGATCTCTTCAACCAGTAAGCTGTGTGTGGGTTGCTGATTGATAGTTGATCATTTGTAGAGTTCAAAGTTTGAAAATGGATTCTGCTGGCTCAAAGAGAGCAGTAGCTCGGCAGAGATTAGATGAAAGTGATTGGTCAAGGAATTTATATTGGTTGTTTATTCTTTGATGAACTCTAGGAATGCTGATGGTCGTCGGACTGAGGTTGGAGAATGTGACAATACCAAGAAGTGGATCTGTCGGAGGCTCCGTGACACTAGGCTGTGATTATCATTTAGAATCTAACGACACCCTCCTCTCCCTCAAGGTTTATAACAAAATTATTTAGTTAACTATTAGCAATCAAAAGTAAACTATAATTGTCAATTATTTAAAAAAACAAACAATACTTTCAGTTTTACAGGGATGAAGATGAGTTCTTTAGATTTTTCCCAGGTATTGTATTTAGATCATAAATAAATATTACTACATTTACATTGCATTTATTATATTAAAAATTATCCAGGAAATAAGGAATCCCCTATTGCCATTTTCAATCAACCTGGGATTCATGTTGACGTAATTTTGGCTTTGGTCTCTTAGTGTCCATGTAATCCTACTAAACAGCTATAACCAATCTATTACCATTTTATTTTTTTAGTTGGGAGAGAGCTTCAAAGTGCTACAAAATCGAGTAAAATTCCGACTCAAGAACTTGGACTTTAGTTCTGGGGGGACTTATAGGTAACAGCACTACCAGCTCAATAATGCGCAATTCTACTTGTGTAACTGTAAATACTGACAACTTGTAGATGTGAAATCTCTGCGGACTCTCCTTCATTTCGCACATTACACATGGAGAGAAATCTTTCCATCATTGGTACTAAAATTGAATTACTCTCGATTAATTAACGTCATATACATGCAAAATTTTATGTAAAATTTTATTCCAGCACTACCCGAATTTCCAAAACCCGTCCTGTCTGGGTTCCCAGCGATTGCTCAGTACGGCGACAAGATTAGCAGTAATTGCACGTTTGCAGATTCCTTCCCCTCCGCAGAAATTACATTGTACCTAAACAACAACAAGGTAAGCAGCAGGGCCAAATTGGACGAGTAAGTCAACATAAAAAATGCAATGATGTCTGTCGTGTGGATTGACAATCTCCACCATCACACTCATCATTCTCATCTTTCATGCTCCCTTAATTCTGCCAAGAGCTCTTAAAACTTTCACCAGTGGGCTCTTGACTTGAAACTATTTATTAGCTCACAGACCCGACTAATTCCGAAACGTACTACAAGGCAATTTAGTCAGCAGCAATGTGATTGAGTCATCCAGCAGCGTAATAAGAGTAAAGCACCCTTGAAATGAGGAGGAAGGGCAAGTGTTGTTGGTGGACACATGCATTCAGGCGACATGTACGCACAAACTCACGTCTAAGGACATTCGTGTAGATCTCTCGCTTTCTCCCTTTCTCTCTGTGACTCTGACTTGATACTTGCATCTTCTGCACACACAGAGAGCTAAACGCCACCCGCTTGTCCATATCATCATCTCACGTACCATGAAGCACCAATGAAAAAGGGTGCTCAATCTTGTCACAAAATTTGATGTAGTGAAAGAACGTGACTTTCCCGTCGAAATCGAGTGAGACAACAAGCAGCAGCAGTTGCAGGCTCTCATCAGTTTTCGGATTGTGGATGTAGCATCCTATCATATACAGATTTTACTTTGTTGCCGCATAAATCCCACATACATTCTCTAGCTCAGTGTTCGCAGCTTACCACTCTGTCAGTTTCTGGTCGCTTTGTTGTTCATACAGAAATAAAACCATGTTCAAAGTATTCACATTTTGGGAATGAACGAACAGCTGGTAATTGTGAAGCTGAAATGGGATTTAGAAAAATTATATCCTGTTAGAATAGTATCAACTTTCACTTTTCGTGTACGATTCAAGCAAGAAATAATCTCGCGTCTGACTACTGTCACTGTATTTTAGGTAACAAACTCAGATGATGTAGAGCTAATCCACTACAAGCCATTGCAACTTGGACGAAGGCTGACAACCATTGTGGGGGCAAAGTTCCGCATTTCACCAAAGCATTTCCAGTCGCGAGTTCTTCAGATTAGATGTGAAGCCAGGTTGTTTGATCAAAAGTGGGAAACTCTAGTAAACATCACTCATCAAAATAATCAAGCACCATTCCACACTGCAGGACAAAATCGATATTATGGCGGCGGCGGTAAGTTTCTTATCAGTATTGGACTTCTTTTGCAATTCGCATTTTAATAACTATCAGCAATAGTGACGCAAAAACTGTCATGTCAAAACTTGAGTTAATAACCATACACTTCCCATCTACAAGGATCTAATCTCGTATCGTGCATTTTTTTACAGGTTGCTGTCTTATAAGCCTACCCAGAATTGTAATCACTCTTTTAACCACAACCTTGTTGCACACTTGCCAAACGGATGTGTTTAGTTGTTTTTCGTCATAGATGAATAAATTACTTCGACTTGGACAATGGATAAAGAAAGAAAAAAACTTATTTAACAACAGAAAAATTCATATTTCACTTGGATTTATAGATGTGTACAATTCATTCTTTTTTTTCTATTTGTTACTTTGATCCACTCAAATTACACATATATGAATAAGCAATTACGTATGAGATGATGACGCTATATGCCCGACTCTGGTTGTGTATGTATATTAATTTTTGTACCTGCGGCACAACTACCGCTGTCAGGATTTGGTAAAAAGAAAGTGTAAGACAAATTGAATGGAGATTGAATAAAGCTACCTTTTTCATCACAAAGAAAGGAGTGCACGGCACTTGTGCCATATATTTATATGCCTACGAAAGCTGGTATCATTTACCTTCCTTACTTATAGTCAGGGATTGGACTCTGTTGATGTCAAGGCTTTGAACAGGGAGGACTCTCTCTCTTCGTACTTACTTAATACTCGCAGAGATAAAACCCGAGGGTAATGGTGGTGGTGGAGTCTTTTGTCAGTCGTGGCATGAAGCGGGCAATATCATTCCAGGAAGAATTCTGTGGAATCCATACCGAGGGAGAAAGGAAGGAAGGCAACCAGGAGAGAATGAGACCAAGAGGTGGATGGGATGAGAAAACAGAAGAAGGTAACGTCCGCCTGGGTAGCAGAAGTGGTAGGTGAGGAAGGGCGAAGAAGAATTTGGCGTCAGTTTGGCTTTCGTTCATGTTGTGAGGTGAACTACTTTTTCATGAAGTTTCTCATGGCTGGTGGAAGTAAATGATGTAAAAGAAAGAGGATTGAAGAAGGCAGTTCAGAATAAAAAGAGCCAAATTTATCTACGCTAATCACATCCTTGCTAACTCAGGTTTTCATAGCCTTTCTGAATTCGAAGATATAAATGAAGATAGGATTTCCCCAATGAATTTCATTAGCGTCATTTTCCCCTGTATGTTCCCACTCCGGGAGGCATTGCTTTCTTTGCATTAGTCAAAGAAGCACTTTAACCATTATGTTTTTCACTCCGACGTAATTTTTCCACAAGAAATACTCTGTGATCTTCCTTTGTCATGTCGTATCCCTTTGCACAATAATTTTTAAGAAAGAGAGGACCAGAATTCAGACACCATTTACATTCAGCTGTATTATGCATACATACATTATTTAATATGTGTAGTGTGTCTACATATATGTAAATAGTACATACTCGTTTCTGTCTAAGGTGTGCAGGAGACAGGACCAATTTACAATTCTAGTTGCAACCAGCTCAATGAGTCAATTTACACCTGATGCAGCAAACACAGCAAAGTGCGACAGTTACGAAGGACATAAGAAAATTTTATCACTTCTTTCTGGGACAAATTTCCCATCCTTTCCTGATGAGGTGGTGGTCTGGTCGAAGCTATTGAAACAAGAGACTCACAAACTTTCACGTTTTTTGAGAGTGACCCATCTGGAGTTCTAGTTTCTACAAATGACACTCAATTTGCCGTAATCGACTCGTATTCACTCCTACTCGTCCATTTGAATGCTCACCACCTTTGCCATTTTATTTTCATTCCACTCCACTTTGAGGTTTTGCTGTGGCTTTTGGTCCAAAACGTACTGGTTAAACATAACTCAATTAGTGAGTGGTCAGCAACAGCAGCATCTCATTCAGTCACAGGCTCTTTATGTTGTGGTCTCTGTGCAGGTTGGCTTATTTACGTTTTGATGATGACAGTTTCACCAGCGTTAACCAATGCTAAATAAATAAATGGTACATAGATGCTGCCTACACGAGATGCATTATTCAAGTGGGTTTACTCCTGGGCAGAACAAATATAGGAGGAGGATGAGATAACAATAATAATGTCAATTTAAAAATTGGACTCGTACTTTCACTTTTGCTGTTCCAGTTTTCATCCTCTTTTTTCACAAATATTACATTTGCAGCTTTGCATTCAAAGAACGCACTCCAATGCAGAAAAGTAGTACACTTTTATTTATTTTAAAAGAGATTGAGATGAGCTGCATGGCGTTGGAAACCATTTCAAAACCTTTCTTGAAAGGACATGCTTACTGTAATCTACATATGAATAACCGTGATCCTAGTTCTCTGTGATGTACTGGTAGCTTGTATCACTCTGCACATCTTGTCCTCGTTCCCATATTATGATAATGCTATTTTGAGGCCAAGCATGTATTTGCAGTGCTTCTGAAACTCTGACCTGTCTGGAGAACATTTCGTCCGGTGAAAGTGACTGAGTGGGTGAATTTCGCACGGTATGAATTCATCCCAAGAGCCTCATTGGCTTCTATAACCTCATCTCCAATGGGGGACGACAGGGCGACAAAGTAAACATACAAAATCACTCATTGCAAACCCAGTTTAAAACAAGACGCGTATTGTAACATGATTATTTGTAAAAATTTTGAAGTTATGAAAAATACAGTAAAAAATCGTGCTAGTGTATAACCTCTAGAATCAACTGGAGGCGTGTATAGATATGCAAAATACCTTGCAAAGTTCTAAACTATTATCCGATCGGACAATTCATGGTCACTACATCGTCATTATTCTGCAGGAATGTACTCGTATTTATGCTGCATGTGCTTTTACCGTGGCTGTATTGACCGAAACTTACGTAGTTATTGGATTGGATACTTTTACTTAAAACAATTGAGAAGGTAATTTGAGGGGTGTGGCGGAGGCTAAGGTTTGTGTCCAGCAGGTAGTCGGAGCTTCTGGGCGAGTATCAATCACAAGGGTGGAGTTGCAATCAAAGTAAATTCGAGAAAAACATTGCGCTGCTGGAGAAACAAGGCGAGTAAGTAAATGGAGGTTTTCCGTCAATTTCGATTAGAAGGCAGGATCACTGGGGAGTAGGAGAAATTGTCAGAGGGGATTGAAGACATTTGTCACTTGAGCTTGACCCATGGTCATCCGAGAACGTCTTACTCATCTCCTTTTTCTCTGTCTCAGCTCAATCCGTATTTTTATTTTGCTCACAACTTCCATTACATGCGCAGCGATTCTTATTTCTCACTCCTCTCGAGATGGAAGAAAAGCTGACAACCAACACCAAGTGCAAACATTTGAATTTGGGAAAAGCAAGAAAGTATAGAAATAAACGAGCTTCGATTTGCTCCAGGACTATTTTTTCCCTTTCTCGGATCAGACAAATCAGAACCTTTGACTCTGTTTTCTCCAAGTCAAACGAAGATGTCGAATTTCAAATACATCAACTGAATGCAATTTTTTTCTCTGGAAGGTCCTATATTTTTTATTGGTGTCATTCCTTCGCGTCAATGACAATCAAGTATTGCGTTAATGGGTTGTATTACATTATTACTCTGCATAACTTGAGAAGGTTGAAATGTTTGGTGATTTAGAGCAAGGAAGAAGATACGTATCTCGACTCCTCAATACTACAATGTGACTCACTCGACTGATATGAAGGATACATGTCTGTCCGCCGCTGCTGCTGCTACACAGTCCAACAAAAGAATGATCGCCTGATGTCCCGCAAAGTCTACTCAACCAAGAACCATGTAATGCAACCTAAGCTTTTCACAATTGGTACTTCTCACAGAAAGCACAAAAAAGGGCCAGATTTCTGAGAGGAATTGAAGCGTAGAAACCACCTAATACATACATATTCGTACTCCATATATTCAATAGTACGTAATACATGTCTATGTATGACTTGAAGTAGTATTTTGTACTTGTATGCACAAAACCGGTATTAAATTTGAACCTAGAATTATAAGATTCAACAAGGACTTCCAGATTATGGTATACATATATTACACAAGTACACTTTAAATATTTAGTTACATAACCATCATTTGCAAATACGCTGGCACTGATTTATTTCCATCCGTATGTAGCCCACAGTTGTTAGTGGAGCTTATGCATATTCCTTAACTTGAATTGGTAAACTTTAGCCTCGTAACAATATCTGAAGGGGCAAGTTTATGAGGGGAGTGAGTGAAGCTATATGTACGTAAATAGTACACATAGGATAGTGTTTTCTCCAGGTTGTATTATTAATTTATACGGAAATTGAAATTGCATTATCAAGTTATTATACAAGATGGTTGCATTAAGGAAAATTGGTGAGAATTGAAGAGAATCATGTGTCGACTGCTCTCGGTATAGAGCACTCTCCATGCACGGCTAGCAAATCCTTGGCCTACGAGCATCTTGGTTGGAGAAAGGATCCAGAACAATTTCTATCGGAATAACGCTCATAACATCCCATCACATCAGAAGTAAATTGAACATTTAGGGAACAATATTAAATTTGCGGTAGAAAGTGCTCGCTCTCCCCTAATTAGTTTTTGGCATTAGGTGAAGCCCAAGTAGTCCACCAACCAACATCAGACAAGTTCCACATTGCGGTGCAGTAATATGTTTATGCAGCAGGCAAGTTCCCCCCGCCGCTGCTTAGACAACTTAGACCCCATCACATTATCTTATGTTTTGTGTATATAATGTAATATCCACTAACTCTTCTCGCCTGCCACTCTCCTTCGGCCTCCGGATAATGTGATGAACCAGGACACGCGTTTATCCACGCTTACGAGAGAAAATGCAGACAAGCAGCACACCACCCATTTCTCGGTACAACGACGCATAGTTCACACCCCACCTAAATTTCTCCCAGCTACCAAATACCCTTAGTTATCCATGTATTTTGCTCATATTCTTATTTAGGATTGACATAGAACGCACAAATAAATATTATTAGAATATATTTATCTAAATACATCGCAGCCTTTATTACCACTTGTTGACAGAAGGGATCGCATTTGTATCAGAATTTTATTATTTGCGTATTTATTGAATCTATTTTATTTTTGACACAAAATACATACCACTCGCTGCTGCTGATGTAATTCAATTTCTTTGCGGATACTCGTGATGGCGCAAATATATAGGTTCGGAAAACTACTGTCTATTCCTCAAGCCCCAGTTTGAGATGCCATGGCATGAACTGTCTTTCTCTCACTCTCTCCTGAAATTGAGGGATGAAAATTAGGAGCTTCCGGGCAAAGTGAAACTTGAAAGTTGACTAACTTTCTCTTGCTCATCGTCCATCAAATTCCTAACTGACTTCTCTCCCAAACTCGTTGGTTGGTTGCGAAGTGCGGGGCAGAGAAACTGGGAAGTCCACTTGTCTTCCAAACTAAAACAGTTTACCAAATTAAGTCTTACAACTACAACTACAGCACCTCAAGGTACGACTTCAATCTCATTTGAGGTGCTGCTCCTCTAACTCCAAGTCCAGATGAGATTCTTGTCATTTGCAGTAGTAGAAACCCGGGCAGAGCG